CTATACTTGAAAAATAATGTAAATAAAATGGAAGCTCTACTACTAAAATCAAAGAAATCAATCCAATCTGAATTGAGTTTTTTGTTTTGTTTTGTTTGCTTGGTGTGGCATCCCATCTGTAATCCAAACATCCGGAGGCACAAACAGGAGGATTACTGCAAGTTTGGCTATACTGCAGTCTAGGCTATAAAGTGAGACATGATCTTTGTCTCAAACCAGAGAGAGACAGACAAAGTTTACACATTATTGACAAAGAAAAGAAAACCAGAATTAAAAGTCAGCTGATGTATTAAAGAAATATGAAAATCTACATAACAGCCAGGAAGGCTATTGTTTCCCTGTAGGGAGGACAGCAAAACACATGTTTATTTTCTACACTGATGACTGAAAATTTTTAAGGAATACAAGAATGAACAGGGCTTGGAAGGCAGCTTCTTTCAATACAGTAGGTATAGAATTACAAACACAGGCAAAAAAAAGAGCCATTGGGAGTAGTAAAGAAAGAAGCATCCAGGGTTGGGGTGAGGGACTCAGTGGTTTAGTGCTTGTTTGGCATGTATGAGGCCCTGCATTTGACCCTCGGCACCACAAAAATAACTAAATAGACCTGTTAGTGGAAGAGAAAGCTGTGGTTCAGGGTTTGAGGAAAACGAAAGAGATGACTGGCTACTGAACTGCTATTTACAGGCTGAATAGAACCGTAAGGAACAGACACAGGCACAGAGGAAGGGGGATTCACATTGGATGAAAGAGCAGAAATAAAGGTTTTGCTCATAGAAAAAGAAAAAGAGAGAGCTAAGGAGGTTATTGGCCTCCAATAAATTAAATATGCAAATTAAATCAAGACTAATGAGACTGTGTAAATATCTTTACCTTCCCGTGCTTCCTATAACAGTTCCTACACACTGCACCCTTATCTAAGAAGGTAAACCATTATCTTTGTGTCGTCATTACAACGTGGAAGAGTAATATAGGAACAAGTCCCAGGAATCACCTTGTGACCGAAGCACTTATTCAACAAGTCAGCTATCTGCATTCCCCAGGAATGGTTTTACAACCAAAGGAAACACTATCTTGCTAAACCATTCCCAAGGTTTCCAAGTTACCCACTTGGCCTTTGAAGCATTATTTCACAGTTGTTTCTTACAGAACAGATAATGTTATAGACTAACATTTATTTTTAGTCATTTATTATTTATTTACTTTTGTTTCCTAAGACATGGTCTCCCTATGTAGCTCAGGTTGACTTAGAACCTGGTAGCCCAGGGAATGCTCAACAATCCTCCTGGCATTTACAAGTGTGCATCGCCATGACTGGGGAGATGGCTTGGGGGTTCTTCCAGAAGACCCAACTTCCAGTTTCAAGCTCCTGTATCGTGTAGCTCACAAATGCCTAGGACTCCGGCTCCAAGGGTCTCATTGTCGCCCAAAGGGAAACATATACATGTGAAATACACACACACACACACACACACACACACACACGTGCGCACGTGCACACACACACACACAAATAAAAATAAATCTAAAACAAAATAAAAAGTATAAGAAACCACATCTGACTGTAAATTAACTTCTTCTCAGCAGGGAGTAATCTTCTGAAATTGAACATTATTATAGTACTCATAGAGTACCCAATAACTACAGTCAAATATTGTTTTCAGTACCAGGTATCTTGCTAGGGCCTTACATATTCTAGGTAGGTGCTCTACCAATGAGCAACATTCAGTATGAAACATAACTTTTGTTTGTTTGTTTTTGTTTTGTTTTAATTTTTGATTTTTTTTTGGTTTTTTAAGACAGGGTTTCTCTGTAGCTTTGGAGCCTCTCCTGGAACTCGCTCTTGTAGACCAGGTTGGCCTCAAACTCACAAAGATCTGCCTGCCTCTGCCTCCCGAGTGCTGAGATTAAAGGCATGCGCCACCACCCAGCTGTTTGTTTGTTTAGATATGCGGGATTTTTTTTTTTGGTTTTTTTGAGACAGGATTTCCCTGCATAACAGTTCTAGCTCTCCTGAAACTAGCTCGTGTAGACCAGGCTGGCCTTTAACTCACAGGGATTCACCTGCTTCTTCCTCCCGAGTGCTGGGATTAAAGGCCTGTGCCACCACCGCCCCTTGTTTGTTGTTATGGTTTTTTGTTTTTCAAGACAGGGTTTCTCTGTGTAGCCCTGGCTGTCCTGGAAATCACTCTGTAGACCAGGTTGGCTCAAGAGATCAGACTACCTCTGCCTCCGGAATGCTAGGATTAAAAGTGTGTGACACCACTGCCTGGCAGGGTTTCTGTGGTTGGTGTTAACATTATATGAGGATAGCATTATGAACTTGATAAACTCTTTCTCTATCAATGTAAATAGATGCCTTTAAGTAACAAGACATGAAAGACCAGAAACAGCCTGCAGTACATAAAGAAAAAGACTGTTTGAACTACATAGGTAGTTCAAGGCAAACTTACATGAAGGCAAACTCATTCAGGTAGGCTCCTAAGAAGAAAACCTCTATAGTTATAAAATACTTTACTCACATTCAATATAGGGCAAAGGCTATACAAATTTGGGAACAATTATCATACTTGGCTTGGCTTCCCCCAATACTTTTGAGTTAGTAGTTATTACCACTTAAGAACTGGAAAGGTAAGAAGAAAGCAGGATTGTCTTGCCAAAGATCCTAAAGCATCAGCTTTTATTTAAAAAAAAAAAGGAAGATCTGGCATCAGTGAGCTTGTTCCTGGTTAGCAGATATAGCTGTCTCCTTGGCCTAGTACACTCTTGCCAGTGTGTTGCTCCCCCCATCCCGCTTCAACCTGTCTGGCCTTTGCAGCCATTAGTGTGACAAATCTTTTAAAATGATTTATTCCGTCTATTTCTTTGTGTGGTGTGTGTGCGTGCCACAGCATACACGTGGAGGTGAGAGGACAGACAACTTGTGAGAGCTGTTTCTTAATCCATGTAGGCTCCAGGGATCAAGATCAGATCATTAGGACTGGCAGCAAGCACCCTTATCCACCGAGCCATCTCTCCGGCCCGAAGTGTGAAGATGCTCAAATGTGCCTTTAAAATTCAACCCACATGACCGATTGTGGTGGCTTGTGCTCATAATTGTAGGACTTGTGAAGCTGAGGAAGAATGACTGTGAGTTTCAGACTACCCTATGCCACGTGGTTCATGAACAGCCTGAGCTACACAGCATGATATTATTTCAAGATAATCAGTGGACGGAGAGATGGCTTAGCAGCTGAGATAGTTGCTCTTCCAAAGGACCTTCATTTGGTTGCCAACACTCACATGGTGATTGACAGCTGTCTATAACTCAGGAGATCTGACACTCTCTTCTGGTCTCTTCAGGCAGTAGACACATATATGGCTCATAGGCATACATGTGGACAAAATACCCACACACATAAAATAAATACATTTTTAAAAAAATCAATCTAGTTATTCAGTCTACATGTTTTAACGGTCTTATTAAGCTTAGAAAATGATAAGCATTTTGTAGGTCATGTTAATCAAATCCTGTTATACAGACTTTCTGATTTGTGATTCTGGGTTATATAAACATTTATATGAATATAAGACAAAATGAAACCTACTTTATACAATCAAAAGATTAAAAATGCAGATGTGAAACAGTGGTTGAGTACTAGAATCAGGGTGAAGTCACTAAGCAAGATTTAAATTGAAAGTGGACTGAAAGTTTCTCAGTTTAGAAAACAGACTTCTCATAATCACAACACAATGCAGTGTCAACTGAACAAAACACACAACATACATATTATACACACACACATTTTATATATGCAGGAAGAACTGAGGGTGTAGCTTACGGTAGAGTGCCTGTCTACCAGGCTACAGGTAAGGACATCAACCCCTAAGGGCACAAAGTAAATAAATAATTGAGGAAAAAAATATGTTTGATAAAGAAATAAAGGGGGTAATAAATCACTAAATATTTACCTCAACTTTTCAGGTTAGTCAAATGTCCACTGAAGCATGGGCTTTTACGGACACTCTATTTACTTAAACTACTTTGAAATGATCTCACGGAACTGAGTGCTAGATCACTTCAAGAGCAAGTTTCCTAGCTGTGAGGGAGCCAGTGGCCCATGCCTGGAATCCCAGCACTAGCCAGGCTGAGGCAGGAGGATCATGGGGTACACAGGCAGATGCCATCTCAAAAACCAAAAAGAAAAGAAAAGAAAAGAAAAGAAAAGGAAGGAAGAGAAAAAAGAAAAAAAGCTAACCTTTCTAACTGCAAAACTAATCAGCAGAGTGATACTTAAACAGCGCCTCTTTATGGTAAAATTCTAGTCGTGCTTACTTACTGAACAGAATTACCCTGTCGCATCGCACAGTCAAGCAGAGTGGACAATATTTGTTGGTAATGGGCAAAGTATCAGAATTGAAACTTTAAGCTTTAGAAACAAGAACGATTACAGCAAAATAACTGCAATCTGTCTGCTTCCTAATTTGTTCTGCCACCCCCTCAGTAGTCTTTCCTCTGTGGGAGAGGATGACAATGCATCATCACGCTAATACTTTATTCGTTCTATCGCTCCAAAGGACACTCTGTAGGGTTCCCACAGCCGTGACACAGCTTTCCCTCCATCCAAGGACGTCCTGCGCCTAGCAGGCCAAATGCTCCTGGGGAAGATCGCTGCAGTGTCAGTGTGACCACCTCTCCCCTACCGTACCCCGGTGGCTCTGTGGGGATGCTCTAAGAGTATTCTCTTTGGGGAAAGAATCTCCCCATTGGTATGTGACCTGGCTCCACCATCAAAGCTGAGACTGTTCAACTCGGCTGCGGGGGTCTTGGGAGGCCAAGGTCCCCCTCAGGACAGGACTGGGCAATCCCAGCATGGTAGGTCCCCTCTTTGGCCTCCTTTCCTCGCCCCAGCAGTCGAGGGCCCAGGAGAGCAAGAAGCTCGGACTGAGAAAGCTGTACCCCGCCTTTCCTCCTCCAACTAGCGTCCCAGTTCAGGGGTTGAGATGTCACCCCGGCTCACCAAGAAACGTGTTGAGCTGGTACCCTGGTCCACTGCTCCCACCAATGGCCCCAAAACTGCTTTCTTCGCGGCTGCCATGGAAGTCAGTCAGCTTCAGGTCGGAGAGTTTAACACGACCGGTCTCCGGGGTGACTGTAGAGGGCTGCGGAGGGCGGAGTAGGGAGAGCAGAGGGTGAAGCAGCGCGCTTCTGCTGGAGACTCGCGCGGCTCCTAGGCAGCCCCTTTACCCGCGCCCGGCAGCGTCGCCCCGCCCCTCCGGCTCAGGCCCCGCCCCGGCCCGCATTCCCTGAGGCTGGGGGGGGCGGCAAAGGGGGCGCTGTCTTCCCGGATGGCCAATGAGGAACCACAGAAGGAGACCCGGCGGCAAGCCTGTCTAGGACAGTGAGACGTCAAAGGGGCGGGATCTGCTTTACGGCGGGGGGGCGGGGGGCGGCGCGGTGGGTCACATGGCTGGGGGCGGGAGAAGTGTCTGCTTTTAGCCCGGCTAAGGTTGAGCGAGGGCGGAGGCGGGCGTTGCCTATTGGCCGAGAGCACCCCAGAACACTCCCTGCAGACCGGGCCCTGAGGCTTGTGCGGGCAGAAGCCACCCCAAGTGCAGAACCGCCTGTTCCATCTCTGGTAGGCTGTGCAGATCGCAATCTGAGTCGCCTGGTGACGACCCCGTCCTTTCTTTCCCGCGCTTCCCACGCCCCGCGCGCTCAGCCCCTGTTTATGATAATAAGCACCTCTACTGGGATCGATTCAGGGTGCCACCAGCTGCAGGAGTTTCGCGAATCCTTCACCTCTGTAAACTAGGGACAAGAAACGCGAAAGTTATTTCGGCTTAATTATTTAAGGAAAACATTCCAAATCGTTGTCTCCAAGTGCTTCAGTTTGACCAACCAAGAAAAAAGCACCCGGCACCTCCAGCCCTGAATCTCCCTTGCTTTTTTTTCTTTGGCTCCACTGGAGTATGCCCTCCCCTACACGCCATTTCCGCTCTCTCTATTAACCTCCAAGGACTAGCTAGGTTGGGAGCAAACTGGGATTTGCACTTGACCTTGAATTTACCTTGCCTAGGTCCTTTGGAGGCGAGTATTCTAGAGGCGGTTCAAACTTTGGTCTGGACCTACAGTGAGAAATAGTTTTCAAAACAACCTGAATCTGGTGTCTGCTCATTATACTTGCATTTTTATGTATAATAATTATATGCTACATAGTCATGTATATTTTAAAATATTTTCTAAAAGCAGCTCTATGCTATGCATTCTATGTATTCCATACCATGGCGTAACTTGTTTTTTTAACAACCTGATTGAAAATAAAATCACTAAAGTGAGCTTTGCGATTTGGTGGAAGCCTTTGCGATTTAGTGGAAGCACTTGGGGGGTACAGGGAGGAGGATCAGAACGGAGTTCTAGGTCTTGATTAGCAAAATCAAGGCCAGGCTAGGTTACAAGATACCTTACCAAAAAGGCGGGTCACAGGAATTATTTTATAAGCTATCATGCTATCTCTCTTTTCCAAAACTGATACTGTTCCCAATCTCTTTTTGTCCCTTTCCCAAATGTCACACTATTTTGTAACATCCCATCTATTTTCACTAATTTACTTAGCTCTATTCTACCTCACTCACCCATATGTGTTTATATACTTTTATATGTCTGTTTATATACTTTTACTACATTTGCTATTAAAGCGCAATTTCCTCTACTTCACTCAGACATCAGAGCTTGCTATTCCAGATGAGTACTGCTTATAGGGGAGCTACACTTGCCAAGAATAGATAACTTTGTAGATAAGTCACTATTTTTTAATATCCTGGAATAGAATAGGAGACAGGCAGAATAGGCAAATGTTAAGGAACTAGACCAACCTCTGTCAAAACTGTGATAGGCATTAATTAAATCAATTATATGGGTAAGGATTTCCTTAGTTGTAGAAGTCAGTAAAAAAGCCACTGACCTCACTATGTTGAACCATTAAAAAAAAAATCCTGACCACGTCTGAACTTTAGCACAGTTGTGGCTCAGATTCCAACAGGACAGCAAATTATTTGTTTAGCAGCACAGTAGGGATCAGAATTCAGTCATTTCAGACTAACTGGAGCAAGAGGTACATGAAGAACCTTGCTCTTCTTTTTACTGTGGTTCTGACAACTGTGTGTATCCCACAACTTCATTGCTTTCACCAAAACAAAAGTGAAAAGTCAAAATGTGGTTTGAATTTTCAAAAACCACTCATATCTCATATGTCCTCTGGGAGACCAGAAAAGGGTCCTAAATGTAAGACTCTAGCTCAACCTATCTTAATTCCATACCCTAAATATTTATTCTAAACTTTCACCGATTTATTTTCTCCCTTTTATCTGGGCAGGCTGGCATACCTGGGATACCAGCACATGGCAGATAGAGGCAAAGGATCAGGAATTCCAAGTCATCCTTAGCTCCATAGGGAATTAACAGCAGACTGGGCTGTATATGACCTTGTCTAAAAAGGAACAGACAAAAAGAAAAAATAAAAAAAAAATTCTGTTTTCCTTCCCCTGTCTCCATCCCTTCAAGCTACAGCTGCAGTCCAAAAATTCTGGATAACTATAAAACTGAATAATCGGTACTGTGATTCCATCTTTATGTTGTAAGTAATACCATGGCAGCTGAGTCCCAGAGAGCACAAATAATAATACATGTTCGAGATTAGCCAGCCCCTATGGCGTGTCCAAGACTGCAATTTCCTTCTGACATCAAACTTATGTCCTTCACAACAGCCTAAATGATTAGAAGCTGAAGGGAATTTGAGAGGAAAATGGGTGAGAGAGAAGATTGTGTGCTCACTCTCCTTGATCATTCTCCCCACCACAACCTCAGATCTAAGGCAAAGCAGTGGCTCTGCCATTCAGCATGTAATCTTCGTGACCCCGAGTCACTCATGGCTTTCTTTTGCTCTCTTGTAAAATAGGGAAAATGTCACTGATAGTGACGTGAATGTGTGACCGAGACTTAACTGATGTAATAATGCCTCGGAAAGCACCGGACAAGCAGTTCAGCTAGGCAGGAAAGGCAAAATTCACGTAGTTGTGTTGTCAAGTCCGCTTCTACCATAGAAATCTGGTGTGAGGGCGAGGACAGACGTCCTTCACACAAATTGTTTAAGAAATCCGAGTCATCTAAAGCTCACACTGGGATAATTTTTCTTTTCCTTTCCTTTGTCCCTCACTCCCTTTCCTTTTCTTTCACGGCAGTCCCAGGTAATGCAGCCCGACCTCTACATTTTTATATTGCTGAGGAGAATGAGGTAGATCCTTCTCCTTCTGCTTCCCTAGTGTTGGGATTACAGGTGTATGCCATCAGGTCCTCACTCCTGATTTCTGACTGGTGGAGATGGAAACAAATGTTAACCCCTGATGGAGACTCTTCCCTTGTTTCACTTGCTCCTTCTCAGGGTTTTCCCATTCTTTGTTAATTTTTGCAGATTTTGAATAAACAGAAAACCTATTTTTTCCTTGGAGAATGTTCTAGTAACACTCCGTGATCTTCTCATTTTGCCTAAGAACTAGCACTTATTAGTTAGATGTGATGGCTTACACCTAGAAACCCACTTCTCAGGAGGCTGAGACAGGAGGATTGCCAAGAATTAGAAGCCAGCCTGGCTACAGTGTGAGACCCCGTTCTTTAAAAAAGTTGTGCTTAATTTTCAACCTAATCTATTTGGAAAGCTATCCTTTTCTTAATTTCGTCTGTTTTAATGATGTGTATGGATCGATATGGATAATCGAAGCATAACATGGAGAAATGTTTATAATAAAAAGCACAGGCCTATCATTTTATGGAATAGGGTTGACGAGCAAATCTGTGAAGCGCTTGTGTAATGTGGCACCAAATGTAGAACCAGGTAGGAATTTAAACATACTTGAGATTTAGCCTCTTCTCCTTGCAGTTTAGAGACTCTATTCATATGCATGTTAGTAATCTAAGGCTGAGCTTGGCCCTGTGGTGCAGGCCTGCAGTGCTGGATACTTGGGAGGCTAAAGAAAGGACAATCATAGGGTTAATAACTGCTTAGGCTAATGAGTGAGTTCAAGACAGGCCTGGTCAATGCAGTGAGACCCGGTTTCAAAATAAAAAGTAAAAAGAGTGATGGGAATATAGCTCAGTGTGTGGGGAGAGTTGGCTGAATATCCAGTACCAAAGAATCTGACTACTAAAAACTGTGTGTCATGTTACAGTGTTGACAGGGTAAGACTAACATTATCCTGGTTGTGTTTTGTGAGCTCGTCAAAAACCTCAGCCTTTCTGGGAAGAGGGAACTGTATTTGAGAAAATGTCTCCATAATATTGACTTGTCGACAAGTCTGATGGGCATTTTCTTAATTAATGTGGGAGGGTACATTCCACTGTGGATAAGAGCACCCTGTAAACAGAGACTGCTCCTTCATTTCCCGGCTGCCCAGACACAAATAATCACACAGAAACTATATTAATTACAACACTGCTTGGCCTCAGCTCAGGCTTTATATTAACTCTTACATCTTAAATTAACCTAATTCTATTAATCTGTGTATTGGCATGAGGCTGTTGCTTACTGGTTAGGGTACAGTACAGTGTCTGTCTCTTTTGGCAGCTACATGGCGTCTCCTCGACTCCACCTACTGTCTTTCTCTATCTCTTATAACCTGACTATATTCTGCCCTGGCATAGGTCAAAACAGCTTCTTTATTAACCAATGGTAATAAAACATATTCATAGCATACAGAGGGGAATCTTACATCACCACCCGTGGGCTGTTGGTCTGTATGCTATAAGAAAGCAGGCTAGCCAAGCCATGGAGAGCTAGCCAGTGAGCAACACTCGTCCATGGCCTCTGCATAAGCTCCTGCCTTCAGGTCCCTGCACTGACTTCCTTTAATGATGGACTGTGATGTGAAAGTGTAAGCCACATAAACCCTTTCCTCCCCAAGTTGCTTTTGAGTCGTGGTGTTTTATCACCACAATAGGAAGCCTAACTTGTGGTAAAGCGAATAACTTCCTCACACTTAGAGATTAATAAGGGAAAAGCTCTTTAATTCTAATATGTAACTGGTTCTGACTAATACAGAAAAGGGAACCAGCCTCAAACAAAATTTTACCAGCTTATATAGGCTTATACATTCTACACATGCTGCCATCCCAAAATCTTTAGGTCCCAGCCAGTTCCATTAATCCAAAATTCTTCAGTTTAGCTTCTAGCAGAATTGTAGTACAAGGAAAGAA